ACGACAAGGGTGCAAGGGCATTTGAAGGCCATGGCGACATTTTGCGAGCAGGGCGCTATGCGGGCTGACTGTAGCCATTCCCATCGCCGCCTGCGTCCCAATTGTGCAACCGTTGCGCGCCAGAGCCGGAGTCGCCTCTTACTTCGCCAATGTCCATGGCGTCGTTGTTCATACTGTATGCGTCTAACCCTTACCTTCTGTCCCAAATCTGCACGTGCCAAATACACATTATGGTGGCTCTGGGGCGCGAGGGGGTCCCGCGTCTTGCCTCCATCTGGCTGGCAGTCGTCGAACCAGTCGCTGGCACGGGGCCCGAAAACACATTGAATCCCGACTTTCAATACGCAGGATGCACCATACTTCTCCAGCCTCTCCACCATCGCAATCCACCGTTCAACCTGCGAGGGTGTTTAAATTGACCTTCTTTTTCTTTTCAGTGCCCGTGGCCAAGATCATCTTCGCCGACAGGGTAACTGAGGTCACTGCCGGGTATGACTTCCATATCTTCTGGTAGACAATCAGTTCCTCACCTTTATTGAGCCCATTTACTCTGCTTCGGCTTTCTGGTCCCTCTAGACTACCTGTGAAGATGTACACTCGGTCTTCGTTCAACTCGCGAACGCCCGGCTCGGCTCGTCAAACTCACACTCTCCTTTGGCGTCATCTCATTCCTGTGTCACATCCGATGCCATCACATACTCAGAAATCGTCGTGCAGTCGTTAAGCAATCTGCTCATAGCATCCTGGTCAGGCTCTTGCAATGCTGCGTCCACGGCCTCTCGCTTAGAATTGAAATTACGGAGCGCCTTGGCGTTCTCGTCACTCACTTGTTCCCGTTCCCTCTCTTGAACTTAGCCTTGTATCTTCACAGTTTTTAGAGCCTATATCGCTCTGGGTTGGCTTGAGCCTTTCGATCGTAACCTGCGTTCCCCTGGGCTCCGATATTACATCTGGAATTGCTGGTTATATCGTTCGTGCTAGCTTACCAGCTATGCTCCTTTGGACTCCTGCAGCACGTCGTGCGCACTGACGGCCTGAGCTTCTTGCTCGTGTGTCAATTGCAAGTATTGGCTCATCAAATAACGACGCCGCATTGGTCTTCCGTTCGCACAAACGTCACCAAATCAATGCATAGATTGTCTTCTTGCTGTGCGCGTTCGGACATGAACGTGACGTACCCACTGTGGCTTGCATCTGGATTCGCACTCTACCTGCAAGGAGGAAAGACTGGTCTACTCTGTAAGAACGGTTTTTTGATCTGCCTTCAAAAAACCGTTCTTACAGAGTAGACCAGTCTTTCCTCCTTGCAGGTAGAGTACTTATTATTCAACACGAGAGTGAATGAGCCCGAACAATTGTCCCTGCCCGCGTGTGGCCAGAGTTGGGGGCTGCGCGCCAGGAGGGCGCGCTGGGGGGGGCTCACCGGGAGGGCCCGCCGGGGGGGCGCGGGGACTGCTCGTTGGGAGGGCGCGCCGTGAGGGCGAGGGGACGCGGGGAGGTCGCCTTTGGCTTTTCTTGTTCCATAGCTGTCTCGGCCCGAGCATGGCGCCGAAGGCAAGTGCGAAACCCATAGTTGTGTTTGAGCTCGACGCTCTCTCTGTCTCTCTCTCTCTCTCTGCCTCGATCACGCACATGTCGCGGCAGGTTGCACCATGCGATTGCCAGGCAGGGAGGAAGCTCTGCCTGGCCCTGGCCAGAAACTGGAGGAAGAAAAACAACTCGATGGGGCCGAGCAAAGCACCAGGGCCAAACGCCTCATGCGCCACGGGAGGGCGCAATGGGGAAGCGGACGGCCTGAAGAAACACCTGTTTGCAACTCCGCTTCCCCCTTTCCCGTTCGTCTCCCTCGTACCCGCACATGCGGCGTGCTACGTACTGGCACCCGCCGTTCTGGAATGCCGTCCGTCCTGCATCCTTTACCGTGCGCGGCGAGGTCCAACGAGAGCTGTGACAGCCTCGGTTAAAAACACGGCACCATCTGGAACCACCCGCGACATGTTAACCGCGCTCCGCTACCGTGCGAAATCCAAATGTGGATTTGCCACCGTAGCCGCGAACTATCGTTTTTGGGTAACTCATAGAACCGAGCTTGCAGCGTTTTACACAACACACTAGCACTGCACATATGATATGATGCTAACAGCGACGGAGTCCCCCCGCCAAAGCAACGTATGCCCTTCATCATGACACTTCCTCCACCTCTCCTGTTCTCCTTCCTCCCCGCTTCCTCCTCCTCCTCCTCCAGCTCCTCCTCCTCCTCCTCCCTCACCATTACCCCTCTCATCCTCCTCCTCCTCCTCCTCCGCCTCCCTCTTCCTCCTCTTCCTCCTCCTCGTCATCATCAACATCATCATCACCACCACCACCACCAGCACCACCACCACATCATCATCATCATCATCATCATCATCATCATCATCACCACCACCACCATCACCATCATCAGCAGCATCATCATCATCATAATCAGCATCATCATCATCATCATCATCATCATAATCTTAATAATAAAACTAATAATAGTAATGATCAAAAAATAAGAATAATAATACGAATAATAATATTAATAATCATTCTAATATTAATAATAATAATAATAATCAACATCAAAATCAACATCATCATCATCAGCAGCATCATCATCAGCATCAGCATCATCATCACCATCACCATCACCATCATCATCATCATCATCATCATCATCATCATCATCATCATCACACCACCATCACCATCACCATCACCATCACCATCACCATCACCATCACCATCACCATCACCATCACCATCACCATCACCATCATCAGCATCATCATCACCACCACCAGCATCCTCATCCTCATCCTCATCCTCATCCTCCTCCTCATCATCACCCCTTTTTCCAACCTCAATATGAAGCCAAAGTAGATGCTCCCTCCCCTCATCCCTCATCTCGTCACTCGTTTCGTCACGCTTCGTCTCTCTTCTCTGTTCCCTCGTTCTCCTCATATGGTCCCTCCTCCTCCTCCTCTTCCTCCTCCTGCTCGTCCTTCCGCTCTTTATCCTCATACTCCTCCGCAGGATCCTCATCCACCTGCTCCGTTGTTTTCTCGTCGCCATCCTCTTACCGTATTCATCAAACATGCACTCACCCCTCTACCTCCTCCGTATCGCATTCCTCCTCCTCCTCCTCCTCCTCCTCCTCCTCCTCCTGTTTCGCGTTTCACCTCTCCCTCATCCTCCATATCCTCACATGGTCCTCACATACTCACCCCCCCTTCATTTTTGAGCCGCCCCACCACCAAGCAACGATCATGACCGAAGAAGGTGACAATAGTAATGAGAATAAAGAGGGAAACATCAACAAGCCGAGGAGGGGGCAGGCAGGCGGGCGGCCCTTACCTCCGCGTACTTCCACCACTCCGCCACCACCGCTTTGAGGGGCCAGGGCTTGATGATGTGGTGACCCTTTGGCCACGGCAACTTCCCCGCCTCCAAGGTCCTCTTCTGGGCTTTGAAGACCTTATCGCAGGGGGCGAGGAGCTTGCGGGGAGCGCCTGAACAGTAGGCCCCGCATCTCTTGCAGAAAACAAGTGCTAGCCCCGTATCGAGGCAGCGTGAGACCCAGAGGCGGTGTGGCTTCCCAGGACCGTTTCGAGGGGCCCCGAGCGCAAGCAGGCTCGGAGTTAATTTAACACAAACACTGCTGCTGCTGGGTGGACGTGTGAAAGAGCGGGCACAAGCTACACACTGCCACATGGTCCCATTCCAGAGACAATTGTGAGCGGGGCCAGCTATAGGGGGCCTGGGGGTCCGAGCACGGGCCACACGGGCAAGGTCCCCATACAGCTCCTTGGACCCAGACCAGAGCTCTAGCATTCTACTCGTAGCTTTGGCTACTGAGAGCCACTTAGCATAGTGAATAGTGAACTGGGCTTCTAAATTCTGGGCATCCGGATGCATCAGGGCGCCTCGTTTCGCATTTTCACCTGCTAGTTCATTGCCACGAATATTTAGTGCCGTCCCAGGGTCAGTAGCATCAGTGATATTCGTGTGTGCTTTAACCTTGGTCAAAGTCAGGGCGTGGAAGTTACCTTCGTCAACTTTTCTCCAGACATGTGCTGAACTGGTTGTTCTGTCGATACTCTTGGACGGTAGGCCAACTCCTTTAAACAGGGCCGCACAGTCCACATGGGGCTCCAAATACTGACATGGTCGGGTTGGCCTGCATGCGGCCACGAAGCGCTGCGAGATGCTCTGCAAAGCCAGGCGCCTGGCTGAGGAAGGCAGGCACGGGCCCGAACATCGCCTCCCTGAAGGCCCCGACCTCGTCGGCGGCCACAACCGCCCAGCCTGCACGGGAGCCTCCTGAGCTTGAAAACTTAGGACCATAGCAACTTCCATCCGAGAAGATTTCATCACCTTCTTCGAACTGAACAGGTTTCGTGGAGCCCGAAGAGTCCAGGAATTCAACAACTTCGTCTAAAGTCGGTTGGGCTTTGATCTCAGGAATTGGCATCCAGAGCTTCCCAAAGAGATTATCATCTGGTCCTGCGGCTAGGGCCTCATGCAGCAATGCATCGTCTACAATGTCTGCCCTCTCCTCAGCCTTCGCGTCGCACTCGAATGCGCGGTGCCACGCCGAGTCGGGGCGGGTCTTGCACAGGCTGCGCAGCGGTGAGACCTGGTAGCCCCAGCTGTGGAGCTTCGCCGCCGTGATATAGCTGCCACAAAATATGTGGCTAACAATATGCCGCTGTGTGTTTGGCCTCTTGGTGCTCTTCCAAAATGTTTTGGGCGGCAGCGTCCAGAGGCCTGCCTCTGATGTCCTCCGAGCTCTGATCGGTCTCATGGGCCGCCTCCAAGCCAGGGGACCTCTTGAGGACCTCGGGGGCCAGTAGAGCCAGTCTGAGATCTTCCGTGAGTTACGCTTTGACCGTGGTGGGAGGGGTCTCGGTGAGGAGGAACTCGAACCCGTTGGGACGTCTGATCCTTGCCGCATGAATAGATTTCCAAGAGGCCTTCTGGACCCAGCAGAACTTGTCACCTAAGACCCCGAAGCTCTTCTTGGCCCAGCTGGAGTTCTTGGGGAGGTCCTCAAAGTGTTGCTTAGCCTTGTCGAAGGCCTGGTTGAGCTCCAGCGGGGAGAGGCCGTCGTGGGCCCTCAGCTTGATGTTGGTGGCCATCCACCACTCTCTGGAATATCTGTATAAGCTTGCCGCTGCATGAGACAATGGGTCCTTGTCTGGGCCCAAGGGCCAAGCCGGCTGGAGGTTGGTTCCTGCAGACGAGGGACCTAGCGCAGCAGCTCCGTGTCTTCTCATACTTTCGACTTCCCCAGGAAACCAACCCGCGATTTCTTCACCATAAGTCAGCCCAGGTTTGATACATCAAAAGTAGAGCTTGGCTGTCCTGGCTTTGGGCCCACCAAGAGCCCCCATCTTGCGGATCCTGGCTTTGGCAGTCTTCCACCTGGTCTGACGTTTCTTCTTGACTCGGGGCTGCGCGCGATTCTTGCCAGGTGCGAAATCGCATCCAAGGTTGACGATGGCAGGTGCTCCTCCCTCTGGCCCAGCATAGATGCCAAGCCTAGTGACTGCTCGTCGAAGGAGCAGCTCAGAGTTGCCTGTCATATTAAACTTGTCCATCGCAAAGGGCAGGCCTAAGTCGTTCGCGAAACTGTCAATCAGGAAAGCCATAGCTGCCCGCATCTGGCCAATGAGATGGGGCATGGAATAGTTACTGTGGTTAAGGCCTACGTCGTCAATATGAATCGTTAGACCGGGGCCCCAACTCTTGGCCTGGGTAATTCGACACTACTGGAAGCATGTGGCACTTGATCTCGAAGGTGGCTGCGCTGGGGCCTGCCGCGATCCCCTGCCACGGGTTAATCTTCGGAGAGGCCTGACCAGCCAAGACTAAAACACGTGGCCATGTATATGTCGCTACCGCATATTGTAAAACACGAAGTGGATAATCGAAGCTAATGGCTGCGCCCTCGAGGCCTTCATGTCTGACATGCTCATAGCATTGTCTAAGATCACCTATGACACTTAGAATGTGCTCATGGTCCAGATGTGCTGTGTCCCCCCTGATCGCCTGTCTCCAGACCCCGTCCGCTGTGTGTCTGTGTGGTGCCATGTTGAACGTGCCATACTTATGTAAGGTACCTCCCCATTTCTGTAGTTCTTGTGCATTCCACTTCGAAATAAGTCGGCCTAGGCTCTGGTAGAAGCCGATCGGACGGAAACCTTTCATCGGCCTGGCGAACAGCGAAACAATAAGGATCTGCATCCACGTGGGCAGATCCCCGCACAATCTGATGAACACAAAAATCTTACTGAGGATGTCCAGGGCCCCGTCCGATAAGGCAGCAAACTGGCGGGGATGCTATCCGTCTATGTCGATGGTGTGGGTCTTGAAGGAGAGGGGGAGTTGGCGGATTTCGTCAACTGACGGGGCCCTGGGGATGCGAAGATTTGGCCACTTGAGCGGGGCATCCTTTCGCGTCGGTTGCGCATTCCATGCTTCCGACCAGAGATCAACCTGAGAGGCTAAGGCTGCTGTCGGACACGCCGTCGGGTGCCCATCTTCACAGACGTGGAAAACCTGCTCCTTCCTCTCCTCCGCAATCTTAGTGTAAGCATGTCCCCACTTGGCTCCTCCTTCCAAAGCTTGATCACACCATGTGTTCCAGCTCTCGCGAGCCTCGCGTTTTTCCCGAGGGGGATGTTGATGGGCCACCTCCTCCGCCTCCGCCCCCAACGACTCGAGCCCCTGGATGAGTCCGTCGTGGCTGAGTGAGATGCCCGAAACTAAAGCGCCCAGTTTGCGGCCCCAGTAGGGGCCGCCCTCTTCCCCAAGGTGAAAGTGGAGAGGACTTTGTGGACCTTTGGCTGCCCGCTGCAAAGATCCGAAGAGCTGGCTGAGATATTGATCTCCCATGTCCTGCCAGCACGGAGGAGTGAAACACCTTCACGGCAACGATGGTGAAGCCATACTAGTGCTCGGTGTCCCGATCGACAAAAATGCTGCTTGGTGGCCAAAGGGCGCGGTGGCGGAACTGATTCGAACTCGCACTCGGTGCCTCCAAGATCCCCCTTCTCAGGATAACTCTGAAATATGCCCTGAAGTTCGCCCCGGGAAGTTTGATGCCAAACCCGCGCAACCCCATCCAAGGCCTCCTGAACCTTCTGGCACTCCGCATCTGTTTTCGGTGAAGTGTACCCCTCCCCGTTGGGCTCTTTGAAATCCTTTAGAATCACATCTATGGAGTCCTGGAGGTACCCATAATCTGGCGCTCTGGGTCGGGGGCCCACAGGAACCGCAGCAGGGAGCCTTTGCCTATGAGCGAGACGTAGAACAGATTGAGCCCCTGGGTTCTCCTTGGGCCTGAGGAGTACTGGTCGATGAGGGGCCAGCTGGGCCTCCATGTCCGTGATGGAGTCCCTGATGGCATGCTGGAGCGCGAAAGAGACCGTGAAATAGTCGTAGCACTTGAGTGCGCTGCCTGAAACGCAAGTTACCTCAAGCACTGGGATGATCACTCGACCTTTGTATTTGCGAGGGGGAAGGGCAGTCTCTACTACGTGAGGCTCGAGGTTGCGATCCCCCCCCCGAGATGAATGGGAGGCCCTTGGATAGGATATGGTTTCCCAGGGCCTGAGCAATAGCGGTATGCTCGCCGTTCAGCCCAACGCTGTCCTTCCAGTAGTTGGAATACACGCTGATGACGCCGGGATGCTTGAAACGAACATGTATATTAATCACTCTGCGTGGCCACACACTGGAATCACTAGGCTGCCATGCATCAAGATAGCTCCTGACCAAAATCGCAACGCCAGCGGACATTCCAAACCCCGTGTGATGGCCCTCCTCCCAGAATGATCTCCATCCTGCTTTTCTCATCGAAGCCTGAACCTCGAGGAGCGACTGCCCCTGCAACTTGTGCTCCTGCGCCAGCACAATGTGCGCGTTGGAGCTCTTGATGATACGCTTGGCTGAGCCCCAGCTCGAGCCATTCACTGTGAGAATGATGAGACCTTCGCTCGTCTTGGGTCCTTTGACTTGTACTGGTAACTCGGCCTCAGGGCCGTCTTGGGCTAGTCAATGATCATTGCCATCGCCGTCTCTAGCTTGCTCGCGGCTTCGGCTCCTGCATCTGTCGGCGGGGGCACCCTTGCCTTCACCGATGTGCGTGCCTTTGGCCCCCTTGCCCTGGCCGCCGCCTGTGGGGCTCGCAGGCTGCTGGGGCGGCGTCCGCTGTGGCCGCGAAGCCATGGCCGCCTTGGCTGGCGGGGCGGTGGCGGGGCCATCCGCCCCAGCGGGCGCAGGGGCAGCAGGTGTGGCCGTTGCAGCCTCCTGCGCCACCCTCTGCGCCTCTGCCGCCGCTGCATCTGCCCGCGCCTGCTGCTGGACCTGCTGGATGGTCGCGACGAGTGTCTGCATGGGGCCGATGAGGACCTGGTTCTCGTTACCCGAGAGGCGGCTCTGGAATGCATTCAACTCGCCCAAGAGGGAATCGATCGATCCGTCGGCCTGCCTCTGGGCAGCTGCTCCCTGATCTGTTGGTTGGGCCGCTTCAGGTGTTGACTGCGACGGCGCCAGCTTCTGGACCACGGCCACCTGCTCCGCGATCTTCTGCTGGCACTCCGAAATCTGGGTCTCCTCGTCCGCGATGAGGGACCTCTTCTCTTCGATCGTCTTCTCCAAGGCGGCGATCTGGTCACGGTACTTACCGATGTTGGCGTCGTGCTTGCTCATCGCCGTCTGGGCCTTCAGCAGCTTCTGGGTGGCCACGATGAGGAGCTGCTGAGGCGTCTTGGAGTTATCTCGTTCCTGGCGGAGGTGTTCGATCGCCTCCTCTACCTTCTGCTTCGCGATGGTGCAGCCCTCGGTCTCCGTAGCCTTGCCCAAGCTGTCGAGCAACTGCTGGCATCGCGTAATCTGTTGACCATGATTCACCCATGGCGGCTCCGTCGTGCCACCAACTCCCGTCATTGGGTCATCTGTGCCCGCAGTCTTGGGCGGTGGCGGGATCTTCGGCGCCGCCGTCTGCCAATGTACTCCACACACCCTGCAGAACGCAAGGCGCAGGTGATTGCTGGCCATACACTGCGGGCATGTCCAGCTCTGGGTTGGGGACGTTGGTGGCTGCGTCCCTTGGTCGGCTGGAGGCTTGGACTTCGGGCTGCCCTTGGCGTTTTTTGTCCTTGCCCTTGCCCTTCTTTCCGTTCCCGCGCGGAGAGACAAGTGTCCATGTCATCTGGAAGAGGGAACTGTGCAGCCTGAAAAAACCACCTGCAGCAAGACTGGGCTGCAGGGGTCGTGCGGGAAAAGCCGACTGTCGGCAAAAGAGGAGCCCGAACCCAGGCTGCGGGGCTCTCACCCCCCTTAGAGCCCCAACGGGTTCTACAAGAGGCTTGAGCCAAAATGGCTTGAGCCAAAATGGCTACGGACTCACATTCCCCTTCACATCATCACCACCACCACCATCATCACAACCACCACCACCCATCCTCATCCTCATCATGCTTCCCCTCCTCAGCCTCGCCCCTATTCCACCCCCCCTCCGTTCTCGTCGCTCGCCCATCGTCCCTCGTCCCCCGTTTCCCCTCCCTCGCCCCTCGTCCCTCGTCCCCTTTTCTTGCCCTGCTGCCCCCGTGCCGCGCGACGTCCCGGACCTCTCCCGGGGCGACCCGATCAGGACTTCCAGGCGAATCCGGCCGTGGCGACGGGGGGGCCCAGGCGGAACGTGTCGATACCTCTTCCATTGAAGGGGCCCTGGGACACACAAAATAAATACACACAAATAACAGGATATCCCATACTTTCCCATACTTTCTGGGTTTCTGTCTTCCCCTCACACTTCCCATATTTTCTTATATTTTCTGGGGAATCGACGATTAATTGTGTCTGTGTTTTTTCTCCTCTTGATCCACTTCTGACTCTACAGTGGAGGCCAGTCCACAAGAAACCCTGCACAAGGAACCCAGCCCTGGGTCACCAGAACGTCCACGGACTGTTGGCGGGGGGACGTCGCGCTCTCCCTCGCAGAGGCATCGGCACCCGAGAAGCCCAGGGCTCCCTGGAGGCAAGCAGCGTGTCTCTTGGCACGGCCCTCCTCCTCCTCCTCATCCTCCTCCTCCTCCTCCTCCTCCTCCTCCTCCTCCTCCTCCTCCTCCCCCTCCCCCTCCCCCTCCCCCTCCCCCTCCTCCTCCTCCTCCTCCTCCTCCTCCCTCCTCCTCCTCCTCCTCCTCCTCCTCCTCCTCCTCCTCCTCCTCCCTCCCCTCCCCCTCCCCCTCCTCCTCCTCCCCCTCCTCCTGCCCTCGAGCTCCTGGTGGGGCCCCGAGCCACCAGCGCGGCCCTGCCCCGCCCGCCGCCGTTCAGCCGGGGCCCCAGGGGCTGCCCGCGGCCAGCGCGGGCGCCATCTGGCCCAAAACGGCTGCCATGCCCGCCGCGGCGAGCGGGGAGGCGCGGCGGGAGGGACGAGCAAGGAAGAGGAGGAGGAGGAGGACGATGAGGACTTCCCCCCCCCCTCCTCTTCCTCCTCCTCCTCCTCCTCGGCATCCTCCTCCTCATCCTCATCCTCTTCCTCTTCCTCCTCCCCCTCCTCCTTTTCCTCCTCCTCCTCCTCCTCCTCCTCCGCGACGAGGACCGTGGGCGCTCGCGCGGGCACGGGCGCTCCATGCCGCGGGCTCGCGCCGTGCCGACCCCGGCGTGGGCTCCCGACGCCGCAGGGGACCGCTCGGACCGGAACGATCGGCCGCTCCGTGAACGCGGGGCAGCGATGAGGGGGGGACTACAGTCGGGGCGTTGACCTAAGGAACGAGGCCCCTTTTTCCCATAAGTTAAACTCAGATGTTCCATGGAAAACCTCGGGAAGACCCAAGGAGCACTGTAAAACAACTAAGGAACACGGAGCCCCTCCCAAACGAAAAGGGTTCCTTCTTCAGCGGCCCGACTGTATTTCTCGCGCAAGCACAGACGGAAGAGGGGGAAGCAGAGATGGGAAAGTGGGGAAGGAGGGGAAGCAGCGCGACAGAGAGGTGGCAGCGAGGGAAGGGAAGGGACGCCCCCGCGTCCGCCTGCGCCACAGGCCGCCGCGGTGGCGATCCCGTCGGGAGGGAGGAGCAACGAGAGGAGACGACGGATCTAGAAGTGAGGGGCAACGATGGGGGGGGACTGGCATAGGGGGGGATGCATCGACCTGGGATCGGCGATACAGTCAAAAACCCTAATAAGGACGCGCGGTAAGGACGCAAGACCCTTGGAAGCCGAAGTTGGGATTTTTGGGGCGGCGGACGACGAAAACCTCAAGGACGCAAGAGCAAGGAAGAGCAAGGACGCAAGGGTACCCTGAGCAAAGTCGCGCGTCCTTATTCGGGTTTTTGACTGTAGGGGGGGATGCATCGACCTGGAATCGGCGATACATCGCCCATACATCGGCGACAGGCCCCCGATAGCGAATCCGCACCTTCCTGGGCGGGTTGGCGCTATCAGACCCCTATCGGCGATCAATGGGCGATTGGGGGTCGATGCATCCCCCCTATGCCTATCCCCCCCTATCGTTGCCCCCGAGTGAACGCCGGATCGTTCAAGGATGGACCGATTCTGGGCCACGGGCGGGGTTCAACCTAAGCGGCCCGCGCCGGGGTCGCCGCCGGTCGACACGACGCGAACCTTCCGTTTCCCCTGCATGATGGCAGCCCGATTCGACCAAAGAGACAACTCCTCACTGCCGCCTTCACCAGAGAAGAGGATCGCGCATCGCGCATCGCGCATCACGCTCATGCAACGCTGGCGGCGGCGGCGGGCGCGCTGGACACCAGACCTCGCGCATCGCGCCGAGCGATGCGGGACGCGCGGTTCCCTTCGCGCCCGCGCGCCCTCGTGCCGCCCCCCCCTCCCCAAAGAATGACAGCTCTCTGGCTCAGTCCGCGACGCGCGAAGCAACACGGTCGGACCTAGGACAGAAGAACATCCTTCAAGAACATGAGACCCTCCACCGGCCAAACTGAAGAGTACTCGAGGGTGCCCTCCCCCAGGATGCACAAGAACATCCAACATACATGAAGAACATGAGGGCATCCTCCCCGAACCGACCTCGATCTTCTACCTCGGTCCGACCGTACTTATGGGAGGATGCTGGTTGTTGCCAAGGTCCGCAGCAGGCCAGCGACCAAAGAACAGGACGAACGCAATGACGATGTTTCTTGACATGACCGGGAAGCGCGTGATATGGAAGACCTGTGCAAGAACACGTGGCGATCGTTGCCCCCCCCTCTGCGGGGGTCACCAGGCTGCGAAGGCTGCGTTTCAAGAAACTGCGCCACTGAGTCACCGGCGCAACGCGAGCAAGACGCCACGCTGCGACGAAGGGGCGAGGTCGACGGGGGAGAGCAGAGGAGGCAGGAGAGAGGAGGGGAGGAGTGACTTTTGGAGGAGGAGGAGCAGGAGGAGGGAAAAGGGTCATGAACGACACGGGTCCTGCATCTCGGGGCCTTTCCAGGGGGGCGCTTTGGCCCCAAGGTACCTGGGGCCCAGGAAGGGCCCTGAAGGACCGAGAAGGACGAGACAAGCCTCAGAACCCCTTTCCCTTCCCTCTCTGGACCCATCTTACTCCAAGCGAGGAGGGAAGAAGGGGAGGAACGGAAGGAAAGGAGGCGGAGGGGGGGGGGGGGGGGGAGGAGGAGAGGAGGGGAGGGGGAAGGGAGGAGAGACGAGGGAGGGGAGGAGCGGAGCAGAGAGGGAGGAAAGGGAGGGGGGGGGGAAGAGCAGAGGAAAGAGGAGAAGGAGAGGAAGAGGGAAAAGGAGTGGGGAGCGGAAGGGGAGAGCAGGGGAAGAGGGGAGGGGGGCAAGCCGAGAGGGGAAGAGGGGAGGAGGGGAAGAGGGGAGGAGGGAGCGGGGGGGGGGTCGGCTGCCGCCTGGACCTGCTGTCCACCCGCACCCGGACGGCCCGCGGGCCGAGGGGTCGTGGTGCGCGCCAGCGGCGGAGGCTGCGCAATACGACGCCGGGCGGCTGTGCTCACCACAGCTGGCCGGCGGGGAGGAGGGGGCCAGCAGGGGTGTCGTGTTCGTGTTCCGTTTTCGTGTTCCGTTTTCGTTTCGTTTTAGTTCTCCCTCGTTATGTCTTCGTTCCGCCTCTGCCGCAAAGCGAAACGAAAGTGACAACGGCGCACGAAATCGCCCGAATACAGTTTAGCTCGGGCCCTAGCGGCGGGTGTCAGCGCGGGGGCTTTGCAATATATCCATGATATGCGGTTGTAACGCGGCACGATAATGAACCAGATGATCGAAAATCCTCAACATAAACCTGGCTCCTCCCTGGAAATCTGCAACAGACTGACATGTAAGGACTCGTGCTCCTTTGCTTCCTCGTCGCGACTCGTACTGCACCTCACCTCGTCTTTCTGCGCCAGTCCGTGCTCCTCATCGGGAGCAAGCCTGGCGGAAGAGGCAGCATTTCGACACCAAGTCCGTTCATATGCACGCGTGGAGGCTATGCTCGCCAAGATGTGCGAACACATGCCTATCTTTGCGTACGCTTTGGCTTCCCATGGCCAGCAGTGCTGGACATGTCTCTGCTGCGCGCATGTTTCTCCCGCAGGGAGACTGCGTGTGCGTCCGAGTCACGCTGCTTAAAAACGTCGGTCGGGGCCCCGCCGGGAGGCCTCCTACAACGCAACCTTCGGGGATCTACTGACCTGGGTCAGTACAAACTCGGGTCAGTCGGGCTTTGCAATATTCTGTAATGGTTGCAACATGATCAACCCCGATACAAAAAAAAACAAGTGGCCATGTTGAACATTCCATATCAATTCTTAGATAAAGAATTGTCATGGAATGTCCAGGATTGCCACTTGCATGCAAGATCCTGCAGGATCCTGCGAGGTCCGTGCACTGCACCCCTGGCTCTGCAGGATCCTGCAAAATCTGGCGCTCTGACTGACCCCCGTTTGCATTGACCCTCGTCTCTTGAGCCCCGAAACCTCACCGCGTGGACAATCAGCCAGACTCGGGGCTGCGGCGGAAGTAGCCTGCCTCGCCCGGGGCGTCGACCGTCTGGCCGAGGGTGCCGTAGCCCTCGAGACATGGGGGAGCTTGGTGAACGGCGGTGATCGACGCTTACGGTCGAGCGGAAAGTCTAGCAACACTTCCCCCTCCCCCTGCAATTCGAAGTTGGCACGTTTCCGACACACAAAGCTGGAAGGTCCGAACCCAACATTGCATTCGGGGGGGCAGAGGGGGGAGCTCAAGCCATATGTCATGCGCGAGTGTTGCTTAGCTGTTTCCGACACCCGTAGGTTGCCTAACTTCGCGCATCGCGCCCCGCGATGCGCCACGCGCGGCTGTCCTCGCACCCTCGCGAGGCCACCTCGGAGAAGGAAGGGCATCTCTCAGGCCCAGGCCGCGACGCGCGAATCGCGATTATCTTCGCGCCCCTGGGGGTTAGGTAGGAAACCAGTTTCGGGGGCGTCCAAGAGGGGGGGCGTCCGAGAGGGGCGATCGCAAATCCGCCGACCCTGTCGGCGTGTGTGAGGGGCTTTTCCGTTCGAGCCGTCATCTCCGTCATTCTTTGTACTCGTCGTCTCTGTCCTTCCCTTTCCCTGGGAGACCTCTTCCCCTGGGCTCCAGCCAAGCCGACCTTGAGCAACCTCGTAATTGAGTCGAAGGGAAGCCCCTTCCCTTTGATCCCTCCCCCGCCGGGAGGGGGGGGGGGTAGCGACCCCCCCCCGGGTCAGATACGACGCCCCCCCCTGGGACTCCTCTTCCCCTGGGCTCCAGCCAAGCCGACCTTGAGCAACCTCGTAATTGAGTCGAAGGGAAGCCCCTTCCCTTTGATCCCTCCCCCGCCGGGGGGGGGGGGGGGTAGCGACCCCCCCCCCGGGTCAGATACGACGCCCCCCCTGGGACTCCTCTTCCCCTGGGCTCCAGCCAAGCCGACCTTGAGCAACCTCGTAATTGAGTCGAAGGGAAGCCCCTTCCCTTTGATCCCTCCCCCGCCGGGAGGGGGGGGGGGTAGCGACCCCCCCCCCGGGTCAGATACGACGCCCCCCCCTGGGACTCCTCTTCCCCTGGGCTCCAGCCAAGCCGACCTTGAGCAACCTCGTAATTGAGTCGAAGGGAAGCCCCTTCCCTTTGATCCCTCCCCCCTGTCGGCGTGTGTGAGGGGCTTTTCCGTTCGAGCCGTCATCTCCGTCATTCTTTGTACTCGTCGTCTCTGTCCTTCCCTTTCCCTGGGAGACCTCTTCCCCTGGGCT